AATCTTTAATTGTGCTTAAGATGAAATCTTAATACTTATTACTTGGGTTTAAATCCAATTTTAAATAATTATTGATTAGACTCATTCAATTATCTCAAATTAGATATATTCAAACTTGTACTTCGGATACATACTAAAGATTAGTATTTAATACTTGGGATTCCTTCATTTTACTTTAGAGAATATCTTAGGTTTTGCATAAGATAGCCTTCCAAGGCTAGTTTCTTGGTCCTCTTTAGTTTTACTTAAGGTGGTACCTTTTGAATTTTGTTTAATGCCATGCCTTAAGATTATAATTAATTATCCTAAACTTCTTTAATTCTGCCAAAGTTTAGAGCTTAGGAAATTTTCTTGATACTTCTAAGTCTATTATTATATTATTAGGTTTCCTATATTGTGCATATGTTTAAACCATAGAACTTAATCTTGAAATTAAATTTCAAGGCTGTTTTTAATTAATCTAAATTCTCTAACTATGCTTTAGAGCTTAATACTTTAAGGATATTTTTAGCTAACCCAAACTTCTATAGTTAAAAGCCTAGGGTGCTTGAAATTTCCTTTGAAGTCTAGTCCATTAAGTAGGCTTCCATGATAGCGCTTCAAATGGAATCTTAAGACTCATGCTTAAAATATATTCTAGACTAATTTATTAACAAACTTCTCTAGTTCCACCTAAGGGTGATACTTAAGGATTTATGCTTGAGATCTTTCATCCTGTACTGGTTAACTTAGACTTCTACAATTTTGCCAAAGTTTTGAGCAAAAGGATTTCAATTAAATGGAATAAATTGAAAGTTGGGTCATTACCTAAAATTCCTTGATTGTGCCTTAGTTTGATTCATAGGACTCTTAATTAAAATAATTTCTTAATATTAGTATTAATTGGCCCAAGCTTCACTCACTGTGTTAAGTATAAATTCCAAGGCTAGTTTATAGGTTTCTTTAATAATAATTCTTAATAATGAGACAATGAAATCAAGATAGGAGGGAAAAAATACAATAAAGCTATGCCTTTATAAGATGTCGAAGTCATCACTCATAGTAGCTACAATACATATATTTACATTAATGGACACTATTGACCAAATTCAATAAGCATATGATAACAATTCTTGAAAAAATATGTAATTGATGTAACTGACTATGCAATGCCATAGAGGTAAAGGCACTACTTAGACTGGTAGGTTAGATTGTAAAATAATATATTCTTAAAAAAAAATAGTATTATGATAAAGATCATAATAAAAGGTACTGATCACAATTGAGAATTTTATAATTGTTCCTAAGATGAAATCAAAGGCATAAATTTATAATTTTGAATAATCAATATTCTTCTCCAACTACTAGAAACAAATCCTTTTACTTTATTTAAGTACAATAGAGATGTATACATGTGTATATTTATAGTAGTATAATTATAGTACGTATTGTCCCTAGTTTATCACAAACCAATGGCTTGGTTTTTATCAGTTGACATGTCATTCGTTAAAAGAAAAACCTTTAGAGGTAGTGGATGCATATACCAAAAATTAGTAGAAGGAATATCATTGTGAGGAGCAGAGAGGTGGAGAGCCAATTGAATCAAAATCACTATCACTACACCTCAAGTTGAGGGGTGAACAAACCATTAATTTATCCTAGAGAATTTGGAAGCGTGGAATAGGCAAGGACTTGGTAAAAATATCAGCTAATTGATATGTCGTGGAGATGTGATAAATAAAAAATACTTTGAACTGATACATTCTTAAATTAAAATGATGATCTATCTCGATGTGTTTGGTGCGAGCATGAACAATTGGATTGCTGGTAATAGACATAGCAAATATGTTTTCACAAAATAGTGGTGTAGTATCCAATAAAATGAAAAATCCAAATAGTGAAGATGAAGCCACATAAGTTCTACGGTGGGAATAACTAGGGAGCAATATTTAACTTTTGTGAAAGATTAGTGACTTTTTTTTTATTTTTTACATGCCATGAGAGTAATGTGTTGCTAAGAAAAACACAATAGCGTATTGTTGACTTACGATCATGAACATCACTAGCTCAATCAACATCAAAGAAAGCATAAAGTTGTAGTTTTCCTCTTTGAATAAGCAGCCCATGAGTAAGAGCACGAGAATGTATTTAAGGAGCTAGAAGTGGCAGGTAATAGGAGAATGCATGTGCTGGCAAATTTTGTTTACAACAAAAGCAACATCTGGCTGAGTTGAAGCAAGTTATTATAGAGAATTAGCCAATTGTCGGAAGAGAGCAATATCATGAAATTGAGCTTGTGAGTTATTAGCTTTCAGACTTTTGGAGGTTAGGGGATTGGAGAGAGGTTTGTAATGTGACGTTCCAGCATGTACCTTGAGATTTTAGAGCATGAAACTTAGTGGAAAGAGCTTTGAATCATTCAAGATCTTTAATGGCCAAACTATAATATGTTAGAGAAGTAGACAATGTGATTGAGATCAAGAATTTGATGGGGCTTGAGATTATTGATTTGAAGAAAAATGACTATAGGGTGATGAATAGGTAGAGAAGGTGAGTGAGAGGATGTTGATGTAGGAGAAGATGATGATGTGGAAGAAGATGGAAGCAGAGTAGAAGGGAAATACTGAACATTTAAGTTATAGGAGGAAGTAGTTAGTGGAGTAAATTGGGTAATAAGTGAAGAAGGAAGTGGAGGAAGATTAAAATTGTTTGGTGCCGTAAATAATATAACTTAAGTATTGTTGGTTGAAGAGCTAATGGTTGAGAAGAAGATTCATCAAATTGAACAAGTTGATAGATAATTATGTGAACATTAAGAGGGTTATAACACTTAAGCCTTTTTGTGAGTGGCATAATTGAGAAAGACACACAGAGTTAAATAAAGGGTAAGTTTGTGAGGGGAATATGGACGAAGCCTTGGATAACATCGATAGCCAAATACTCCAATATGAGTTTAGTTGGGAGGAATATTATATCAAAAATGAAATGGAGAGAGATATGAAGTAGTAGAGGTGGGAAGCAAATTTTTAGGTATATTATAGTGAGTAGTGCATTAACCCAAAAATGAGCTCGTTAGTTTCCCTCAATAAGCATAGTATGAATTATTTCTAGCAAGTGGCAATGTTTTCATTTGGCGAAGCCATTTTGCTAGTGGGCATATGGCAAATATATTGATGATGAATGTCATTCTTAATCAAAAATAGTTTTAGATATGTATTGAAAAATAAACCTCGAAAATTAATTTGAAGTGTGCATATAGATTTGTTAAATTGTTATTCAAACATAGCTTTCAAGATGAGGAAATTATTTGTAACTTTCGATTTATGTTGCATTGGGCATAACCAAATATAGTGTGTAAAATCAATGAACAACACAGAGAAATGAAAGCCATTTGTAGAGAGAACAAGGGACATACTCCTAAAATTGCATGTTTAAGCTAAACAGGATAAGTAGTAATACTATATGATTCATTAAATGAAAGCCTACGACTCTTAGCAAGAGCACATGAATTAAAAACAATAGATGATGTAGAAGGAAAAACATAGAAATGAGGAAGTTGTTTTGCTAATACAACTAAAGTGAAGGAGTTGTGGTGTCCCAAATGATGATGTTAGAGTGTTGTGGAGGAAGAAACTAAAATAAAAGTATGAGCAAGAACAAAAGAAGGCATAGAGTTGATTGAGACTGGATAAAGACCGTTATGGAAGGGATTGTAGAGAAGTATGTGTTGATTCTTTTGATCAGTTATTGCGTATATGGAGTCATCGAAGGAGATTGAGCAGTTATTGAACAAAGAGTTTGGAAATAATAAGAAGATTATGGGAATGGTTGTGGACATGAAGAAGAGGGGTTAAAGAAAGCTTACGTGAAGGAGTGGGGAGAAGACCTTTGACATGAAGTTTAAGTAGATAATTGCCATTGCCAATGAGAACAAGATATGAGCTTTGATAAGGGGAGGCTTGCGTGAGGGATTGAATGTTAGGAGTGAGGTGAGCTATTACACCATTGTCTAGGTACCATGGGAAAGAGGGTGACAGACAAGCATTAGTAAGTAGTGCGTGAGTGGAATGAGAGGTTGGTGTAGCGTAGTTGAGATCGGTTTGATGCTAGAATGTGAGTGTGGAATGATCACATTTATCACAAATTTGACAAGAAATTGATGTCTGAAAATTGTCGCATAAGAAAGATAATTAGTCATAGAATAATTTTCATGATGAGAGAATGCAACTCATTCTTTAGTTGTATAACATGAGACCGATTTGTAGGTTGTAGACAATGCTAATCAAGAGTAGTTCAAATGTACGAGAATGTGTCTAGATAAATAATGTAAGAAAGAATAGATAGAGAAATTGTGGAGTAGAGTACAACAACAAAATTTTGGTCCACAAGCAGCCATAATGTTTAGTGAAGATTTAGCATCAGCTGATGGTCATTGTAGATGGAGTGTTTGGATGGGCATGTGGTTGTGCCATCAAAGTATCCATTAAAGCAATAAGCAGTGAATATTTTAAGAAATTGAGAACGAAAGTGGGATAATTATCAGTAAAGAATTGAATGTTACTGTTTGCATATATATTTTGAGCTCAATGTCTGGAGATTGAAGGCACTGATACCATGCTAAATAACATAGTTGGTATGTATGAAATGAAAACAGAAAATAAACAAAAGGAAGAAGGAAACTACAGAAAAGTTTTATTATAAACTTCAGTAGTTTTTCATCACATATTTCGGCACAATAGAGATGTATATATATATGTGTATCTATAGTTAGCATAATTACCGGATTACCCCAAGTTTATTACAAACCAACGGCTAGAATTGTATCAGCTTAGATATGATGAGCTATAAGCAAAACCTGCAGAGGAAGTGGTTGCATATACCGAAATCTGGTAAAAGGAATATCATTGTGAGTAGAGATGTGGAGAGCCAACTGAACAATTATCACTATCAGAGGGAGGGGTTATTGCCCACATGGTTTTTATTTATTTATTATTATTATTATTATTTAAACAAGGAGGCTATTTACTAATTTATCGCTTTATTTCTTTTGATCCTTAACACAATTAGATTTGTCTATTATAGTTCCACAAGGAAATGAGGACTTGCAAGATATTTGATCAAATTCCTTAATGATTTTGAATACATACACGAAGTCATCAAGGTTTTATAAGATTCTTCTTCCCACTCGTGGCGAGCATTTACTATTTGGCTTTTATATACCGATGGAAATTATTTCTTCTCTTCTTTGTTTTCTTTCTTCTCTTCTTTCTTTTCTTCCTTCTTCTCTTCCTTTTTCTCCTCTTTCTTTTCTTCTTTCTTCTCCTCTTTAGCTGGTCCAACTGATATGATGTCAATCTTCCCTATTTTCCTCAGCTTCTTTGCGATTGCTATTGTGTCCATTTCACCTACGACTGTCAGTTTCTGCTCTTTAAGATCAGCAGCTATGGAGTCAATCCCTGTTTAAGAGAAGAAGTTGATAGTGTCATGTAAAGCCTACAATAGGAATAAGTTTGATGGTTTAATCATGCAAAGTTTCATGTTCCAACCATTACCTAATGATAGATTGTTATATTCCATCACTCAGTTCCATCATATATCGTTCATCTCATTACGGTAATTGAAGTCATCCTTGAAAAAATAGTTAATGAAAAAATAAATGTTGGAATTATTCAAACTTTAAAGGTAGAGAAAACCTTAATTTCATATTGTTTTTGGCTACTTAGAGCTTTCATTTTCTAAATAGTTTCGAAATTTGAAGAACTGTATGAAACATCCTACCTTCTATTTGTTTCAACCTGAATCATGTAATTTAAAGTATCTCATCTAAGCATTATTTATCATTCATAACAAAGAAAGCATAAATAATTAACAATTAAAATATCATGTAAAAGGAATTCTAAATCTGGCTGGTGTTTTAATTTGTTAGTTATCTATTTTGTAGAAAATTGATGACTTTTTGTTGCTAGGTACCGTTAATTTGACTCTGCTACCCAATTAATCATGACACAGTTGTGGTTTTAGGAGCATTCTATATTTATGTTGAAAGTTTGAGCTTTCAGTGCCCCCTTTAGCTTCCTATGCTACGTTGTTAGCATACTGTTACTTGAAAGAATCCTAAATATCTTAAACGCTGGAGTTCTAACTTCACATATAGACTGATAAACACATACTAATCATCACTGTTTGAATACTTTCAAGTAAGGAATAAATGATAGGGTTATGGTCTTTAATAGGCAAAACAGTTCAAGCACGCTTTGATATCATGAAACCCCTCAAATTCTCTTCTTGCTTGCTTCCATGGCTAGGCTCGTTCTAATTTGCTTGCTTTATTTCAACTAGCAATATGTCATATAAACGATTTCCATAAAGGCAACATAATCAAAGCACTAAACTACTATAAATCTGACAACTTTTAGGTCATTTTCTCTTCAAATATCCACCAGATCCAAATCTAACATATAATAGAAAGTGAAACCACAGAATTTCCAATTAAAAGAATGCTTAAAATATCAGATGAAAAGTCAGGTATTGGGAAAGTACCAAAGATATCAGCCACAGCCTCTATGGCTTTCTGCTTTGTCTTCTCATCATTCATGGCCAGAAGCTTGAGAACAATCTTTTGCTATTTGTTTATCAAACAACAAAATTAGAAAATAGTCTGATGTTAAGAAGATTAAATTCAGTTATAAAATAGAATAATTCAGCTTGATATTGATTTGCATACCTGCACCATGGCAGAAATGGGAAAGGGAGACTTATCTCCCTCTGTAGATGATGAACAGCAAGAGTTAGACAGACATCAGTTTCTCAGAGCCATATATAGTGCTTATGATCATTTGTTCATGCGGAACATGTATATGATACCAGTACAGAGAAGATTTGCAACTTTTTTTTGGGAAGTTTCGCAAGTATGCTTGGTGATGAAGCTTGGATAGTTATTCCTGAGGAATAACGCAAGAGGGCAATAGCGTGTTAAATGCGTAATCTTTGCTAGTGCTGCTAATGATGCCGCCCACGGCCCACAAGATGGAAAAGGACAGCGTTTTATCTGCTTTATTTTAAAACCCTTCAAAATTTTCATAGATTTGCCTAACTTATTATTTTAGCTTTATATGATTATAATGCTCACAATTAAAGAAATATGCCCGAGGTTTCATTTTCTGAAGAAATATGTCAAAAGTTGATTTCAAATAAAGCTAGCATTCTTCTATTCAAGGATTGCTTATTAAATAGTTTGAATGGGTTTAAATTTGAATATTAATCTATTCTTAATTCGAATATAATTTGAATATGTTGGAGCCAATGTTGAACCAATGTCAACAAAGCTTACTAGTGCGAGCCTTGTGAAAATGTAGTTGGAGTTCATTGGGGGCTCATGGACAGGGCTAATAAAGCTCGGTTGAGCAAGCATCTTGGGACCGCAATGGTAGTTTATTATGATTTCGTAGTTTATTATGATTTCACTAAAAGAACCTATGACATGCGAGGCGAAATAATTTCATGATGGGAGGGATTATAGATGACACCCGTCGCATGTGAGGAGAATAATGTTTCACAATGTAAACTTATTCTGAGAGGCAACAACATGACACAACAAAAATTTAAGCTAGAAATTTCCACTTATTTCAGCAAAAATTATCTCTAGAAATGCCTATATGATGACCCTGCCATCCTATTCCACACGAAAACCAGCACTTGCCCCTATTTAACCCATCTAGTCACCTAGCTCATTCTAAACTATTTTAGCATTGATTTTCATCATTTATTAAAAAAATTAAAGGTAAATTCTACATCTCTTTGAATATTTTTAGTCAATTGAGACTTTGTCTATTAGATTTCATTTAAAAAGGGTATGCAAATTGCAGTGTTTATTGTTTTTTATTTTATTTGTTTAGATTTGAGTTTGTCTTTCACTTAGTGTGTTCTCATAAGATTGTACTCTTATTTTATATTAGATTTACATTTTTATCATTTATATAAGAAATGTGTATTTTTTAATTTGTATATTCATTTTTTATATTTATTATAAGAATATAACATTTTCATTATTGTTAGATTTACTATAGGAAGTTTGTGTTAGAAAAAAAAAAAAAATACATGTCTTAGGGGAAAAATTGTATATTCATTTAGTTTATTAGTGCATGTTTATTATATGTTTCTGAAAAAGAATTTTTCTAGTGAAAAAGAATGCATTTAGCTAATTTATGAATTTAAATTTTGACTATTTATTATGTTTCAATGTATATATTGATATTTATACTCAAATGTTTTAGTTGTATAGTAGAATATTAACTGGCCAAAATAGTCTAATAGATCAAGGGAGTCAAATATTTCAGTCACATGGCATATTAATTGCCTTCATTTTATCAGATGGAAAGTTTAGGTGCCCTTGTGCAAAAGCAGAAAAATCAAGTGTACTGTAAACCCGATGAGGTTATGCTTGATTTATACTATAGAGGCATCTAATCTAATTATTAGTTTCGGACTTCACATGGAGAGCATGAACTACATTTCAACTCTCAATATAGTCCTTCAACAAGTTATACTATAGTAAATGCAAAAATAACTAAGATGTAAGAAGAACTGGAACTCAATGCAGCTCACTTGAAATTTAAAGAACATATAGAGAAGTTGCCTAATACCAATGCACAAAAGTTCTAGGAATTACTACATATGGATTAGAAACTAATCTGAGATGGGTGCACCACTCCTTCTAAGTTAGCTATCATTGTTAGGATTCTCCGTATTAAGACAGAATATAATACTCCTTGTGATTATTTCAAATAATTTAGTAGACTACTGAAAGAAACTAAACCAATAGATAATATAGTTTTGTTAGATTTATATAAAATAATGAAGTTAGTATCAAAATTAGGCTTGACTACTAGAAAAAATAGATTATTATATTAATGGTTGCATGTTATATTACAAGGATTACTTGACAAAAACTACACGTCGCCATTATAATGCACCATAATTCAAACCAAAATATAGGAAGAATGAAAAAAAAAAAAGTTTCATTCAGCTGATTTCTTTACTTACCCATTATTCTGAGGCTTCAAAAACTTTACACATCAATGAGCTATGATGCAGACCTTATAGATTTATAATTTGTTATTGAACAACATAGATGTGTACTTATGACCACTGATTGATGACATTAATATTTTGTGGGAAGAAAGTGTGTTGCCATATGATATCTTAACTAAACAAAACTTTCAAATGTAAGTAGTGCTATTGTGGGCAATTGGCAACTTTCTATCTTAGAGAATGTTATTAGGTTGGAGTACTATTGGTAAGCTAGCTTGTCCATACTATATGAAGTTAGACATTTTATTTTTCTAAAAATAAGCACATGGACAACAACCCACTATATTGGAATTATTCACACACACACACATCAATTCCAAGAGGATCAATAATGGTTAGATAAAAAAACTATGAAAGCATATATAAGTATTACAATTTCCATTGAAATTATGTGTACAAGTTATTTATTTATTACATATGTTTTGGAAGGACTACATAAGTCTATGTGATGCACAAACATATGCTTTCTTTATTGAACATTTGCGAGATCAATATAGCATTCATATTATAATATTTTCTCCTACTCAGTTGAAGGAATGCATAGAGGGAGAGTGTATGGATTAAGCTCACACGTCTTTCAATGTTTCTTATTGTATACCTACAGGATATACTACTAAACATTGAAAAAAAAAACAAATTAAGTAAATAAATATCGACCAACAAGATAATCAAACAATAAAACTTACTTTTTTTATCAATTAAAGCTCGAATAAAACCAACAATCACATTTAAAGATAAAGAAATCTTTGAGTTACCACAAACTATTAAATATCTTAACAATTATACTGATAAAGAAAAAAAATATAAATAAACCTATCTAATCATCATCTGTCTCCTCCTCCTATCTCTCCTTAGTCTTCTAGGCATGTTGTTGGTGATGCTGCTCCATAAATGTTCGCAACTCAACTTGCATTTGAGCTTGTTACATTTGAGTTTATAACATCTTTTTTTAATTCTTCTATTAAACTAGTGACCCTTCTACTGACTATCTCCTCATGCTCATTACCCGTGAAGGATGTTGAAATTAGATGCCTTAGTCTCGTATGCATTGGTGCTTCTTTTCTTAACAAGTATGATCCTTTTTTAAATTTGCATGTATCTTTTTAAGTTATTTGATGATATCATGCATTTATTCATTAATAAAAAGTAAATGTTATAAGAATGTTCATATACCTTATTGGGGTTGTGTTGTCCTCATTTGTGTCATGAGGTTAACAAAACTCAAATTCAAACCAAATCCAATTTTTTTCAAGTAGTGGTCACCTACTGACCACCACTTGATTTCCCTTATACAATCATCAACAATCACCTAATTGATTTTCATTGATATGGATAAATCAAATTCAATCAATAATAACAAGAGTCTAGTTCAAATAAAAAATTCCAAGCCAAAATTCAAGGTTGAAGGCCCATGTCCTATAACCCTTTTTGGGTGATTTTTCAATCACCTCAAAACCCAAATTAAATGACAACCAATTCATGATATGTCAACTGCATATTGATTAGGCATGTCTTTAAGGTCAACCCTCTAATTTTGAGGCCCATCTTAGATCTCTAATCCCAAAAACTCAATTGAAATTCAAAGGCTGTAAAACATTCAAATATTTACAACTTATGCCACTTCACCTTGCATCTTGTGGAACTTAACCTTGTGACCTTCTCCAAAACCTTTGAACATATCCATATTCTTGTTATAACATGTTTAATAAAAACTACACTTTACCAGACCCTAGTTGACTCAGAGTTAACTAGGAGCCCAAATGACCAAAATGCCCCTTAAGGAGAAAATTGAAGTTATCTCCAAATTTTAACACAGATCAATCAAAGCAACCCATGAAATATATTCCAATGCATGTTAGACATCCTTATAAGCCCATTGGACTTAAACTCAAACCTTTGTCAAGCATGGTCGACCAAGCCAACCCATGTTGACCAAATGCCCCCTTAAGACTTTTAATCGGCTTTTCATACTAAATGGCCTTTACATCACTTGAGACCGCCTCTATTGCTCTAAAATCATCAATCCAAACTTATTTGATTCAACTTCAGACATTATATCAACTTGGTTGACCAAGTCAACCAAGTTTGACCAAATGCGCAAACACTTGAACCTAGCCCAAATCTATTGACCAAAGTATTGCCATGCTAACCTAGGGTCCGACGGTCACCCATTAGATCCCTAAGGGAGTGCCCTTAATGGACCAATATTTTGGTCCACTTGGGTTAGCCATATGGCTTAACCCAAGTGCCCAAAGACAGCTCTTCATGGGCTAAAACTCAATCTAGGTCAAGTCTAACCAAGCAAGCACTTGCATTGGGTCCTCCTTGACCCATTGCATTATCCCATGGGTCAACTAAATAAAATACTTAGGCTGGCCCAAAGTGTCCAAAAATTGCTTAGGTTGAGCTATTTTTAATCTTATGCACCACCAAGCCAAACTAATGCTTGAATTAGGTACACCTTGACCCAATGCATCTTCCCTAGTTAGCCCAACTCTTGGCTTGACCAGGGTTGCACCCAAATCAACCCAAACAACCCAGCTTTGAGTCAACCCAAGACATCTTGGAAAATTGGGCCTCCCTATGCCCAATTGAGCTCAACATGCCCCTAGACTTCCTTTCTACCTCACCCTGACCCGAGTAGTGGTCGGCAACAATCAGAGCGAATAAAAATGAGCTCAGGAAGTCCCCTCAATTTAGAGCCATGTCCAAATCCTTCACAGGGCTTGAGCTCCCCAATTTAGGCTCATAAGTCTCAAGGTGTTTTCCCCTTGTTGTTAGAAAGCATATAATTGTCCCCTTAAGCTGTCACAGCCGTGTAAAGCCATGTCCGA